TAAAAAAAAGTAAAAAAATGTTCCTCAGTAAACAAGTACAACAGTATTAGAAATTCTCTATTCTCTATTATTGCAACATTTATTGCGCCAATATTTGTATATCACTAAACTTAAAATAAAGCCAATTTTTTTTATCTTCAAATGTAAAAGCATAACCAATACTAAAAGTTTTCAAATAAAAAATATTTTAAGCCATTAGCTTAAAAAACTCAAACTTTTTTTTATATGATAAACTTGCTTATATACATACATATGCACATAATTATCAATTAAATATTCCATTAAAATTAAGCAACGTTCCATTTATATATTCTTTAATTTTTGCTTCCGCTTGAAGTTGCGCAAAATGTGCAGATACTTGATCTTGTTAGTTTGTCTGCTGCGTTTCTATTTTCACACAGATGGGGGCTAGTATAATTGGCACACGGCTTCTCGTTGTTGCCTGTAAATAAATCGAATTTAGTAAGTTTTGTCTCAGTTTAATTCTACTAAGTTAGTAGTTGTAATGATTCTTATTAGATTATAACTACTTGTATAAAATGCTTAAATTTTGTGTTTGTATGTATATGTGACCCAAAAAAATTTTTTAATTACATTTTCTGAATTGTATTCCATTAAATTTAGAAATAGTCTAAGGATTATATTTACCTGTCATAACGACCGCGTCCNGCGGAATTGACACTAAGAAAAACATTTAGATTATATAGCGGCTTCTACATACTTTTTAGTTTATATAAGTAGCTAAACTTTATCTAGAATTGGACAGCATTTTTTTCAACTCACAACCTTTGTGTGCGATTACGTTCACGTGCATTCACTTCCTTGCGCGGCTTCTCTGGCTCGCTGGCGTTAGAGACTTCCGAGTGCACAGGACTAATACTTTGCGCTTCACGCATCAATCCATCTAATGTGACTGAGTAATTGTTAAATATTCCGTAATCCATTATTAGAAGAAAAACTGAATATAAAATAATCCAAAATATGCTATTAATCAGCAGATAACACACTGTCCAATTAAAGACAGCTGGTATGATTGATTAATTAACAAATTCACTTGCACTTAATTTGAAGCCTCTCGTAAAATTTCACTTCGATTCAATTACCAAC